CTTCGAGTCATTTGGAGTTTCGAGACTCGAATCGGATTTCCGTCGATTCCAGCAGTTTTAGAATGTCGAAATGGGTCTATGAGAATTTACGGAGTCGAATTTGGAGTTAAAACGAAGATTTGAGGTCCTAAGTTGCTAAAATTGTGAAATTTTGATCAAGAGTTGACTTTGGTCAACAAACGAGGTTCCGGTGCTCGAAATGGAATTCCGAGGGCACCGTTGGATTCAGGGGGTGATTCTAAGTCTAGAATGAGTCTTGGTTGAATTTTTAGAGGCCCCGAGTGCGTTTCGAGTTTTTGACCCTAAAGTTAGTTTATTGACGCCTTATCGGATACCGATTTAAGGAGACCTCGAATTCAAATTCCGACGATTTCATTGAGTCCGAAATGTCATTTTCAAGCTAGTAGCATATTTGGTTTGTGTTCGGAAAGTGCCAAATGAGTTTTGGGTGAGCTTTTAAGCTTCTTGGATGCTTTGACACTATTTCAGCAAATTGTGGCAACTAAAGGGTTCATTATTAGTTTTAAAGGTCAAAAAATTATTTCGAAGGTTCTGAAATTTTGAGCATGAATTATAGGACTTATCTGCAAATTTTGGTGCATTTTCGCTAACCCGAGATTGGACTTTTATCGCAAATAAGAAATAATTGTTTACCGAGTAGAAATGATATTTGACTGGGCAAACGAGCATGAAATTGAGCTCCGATTGAACGAGCAGGTCCGTATCATTATTTAAGACATTTACAAAAAGAATCGGGTCATTTCACTATCGTATGAGGAAATTACGGCCTTTTTAGTGAAGGATTAACTGCTGTTTTTCTGGTGCATAACAGCCATGTATTGTTATAAAAATCTCAGACTGCGTTCATTTGGTATTTTGAGCATATCGGGAGTTCTAGAGATCGGAATGGAGTGATTCTTACGGGTTTCTTCTTGAATTAATATGAGGGTTAGTATTCAATCTTCAATTCGACATTTTCTCATAATTTCTTTATCTGTTTTTTTTTCCCTATCCGTCAATCTCTTGGAAAAAATTGGGGTTTTATCGATTTGGACTCCCTTTTTGATGAAAAAGGTATATTTACGATCCTTATGTTATGGGTAAACTGATTTTAACATAAAATTATTGATTCATCGATTATTTTCATCATATTAACCGCGTACAATTTGGACTTTCCCGATAAAGTTAAAGTTTGATAAATCGAGAATTTCAAGGTCGATCTTAACTCCGTTTTTGATGAAATTTCATATTTGAACATATCTAAGCATGGGTAAGATGTTTTTTCAAGAGATATTTCATTTTCGAGTCGGAGTTTCGGATCCGAATATTTTAGGCTTTTTCAAGAACGTGAATTTTCCTTCAAATTGAGTTTGTGAATTGATTTCAACTCCGTTTTCAAATTGGTTTTCACCATTAGCTTCCAAATACTTTAAGGATCATTTTACATAAAAAAAAATTCCAGATTTGGGTATCGTTTTTCGGTATGAGACTTTTGGTTCGTTTTGCCCTTTTTCCTTAAATTTCTTAATTTTGGTGTCATTGGACTTGAATTGTGATTGTGAATAATTGTTTGAATAGATTATCGTGATCCGGATTATACTCGGAAAGGAAAGGCTCAAGTCAAGTAACTTTTGGAGTTCGTTTTAAGGCAAGTGGCTTTCAAACTTTGTAAAACTCTTAGACTACGCATGACTACTTTCCTAATTGTGTTGGGGAGTAATGGGGATTGAGGATGGATTTTATTTGTTGATTGAAATTGTTGTAAATGAAAGATGGGGAATAAAACGAGCTAAATGTGTTATATGTGACTTGAATTTGTTGAATAAGTCATGTGATAACTGATATTGAGGGGATAGAAGAGCATGAATAGGCTATGATTGATACAGACATTGTGATTGAGGCAGGTGATGTGTAATGCTATGATGTGGTCGTGATTGAGACAGGTGATGTGTAATACTATGATGTGATCGTGATATGGTTGTGATTGAGACAGGTGATGTGTAATGCTATGATGTGGTCGTGATATGGTTGTGATTGAGACAAGTGATGTGTAATACTATGATGTGGTCGTGATATAGTTGTGATTGAGACATGTGATGTGTAATACTATGATGTGGTCGTGATATGGTTGTGATTGAGACAGGTGATGTGTAATACTATGATGTAGTCGTGATATGGTTGTGATTGAGACAGGTGATATGTAATACTATGATGTAATCGTGATATGATTGTGATTGATGACATGTGCATATTCATTATTCATCCCATGTGTGAACTATCTTTTGCATGAGTTCTGAGACATTGATATGAGGATGGATGGATATGAGACACAATTGAGACTAGCTCCGGCTAGAGATATATGAGATGGACTAGCTCCGGCTAGCGATTTGGATGCCGATGGGATCCGGTTCCGGCGGTGATACATGATCCATGTTTGGCCCCCATGGATTCTGATTTGAGTATTCAGCGTGGACTGATTACGTCAACAGATGTGTATCGTAGGACAGACATGCATCACGACTACATGACATCATTATTGCATTTTACATCGCATTTGCCTTATCTTTGTCTTTGATGTGTGGATTGTATCGGTTTATCCTTCTTATGTGGAATTTGATCTACTTGCTCTTATTTGTTGATCTGAGGTTGATGAGGATATACTGTTGGTTCTGGCTGTTGAATATGATCTGTTTAGTATAGGTTGGTTGGTTTGCTGCTAGATTGAAGTTTCGGTGGTTCGATTGGGTTTGAAAGGAGTTGTTTGTAGCTGCTAGTTTTGCTTAGTTTAGAGTTACTTGTGAGTACCTGTGGTTTTCGGTACTCACCCTTGCTTCTACACAATTGTGTAGGTTGACAGCTCTCTCAGATTCGGCTTAGTATTTTCTTTAGCAGATTGAGCTTCGGGACATACTCGAGAGGTAGCGGTTCATTCCAGACGTGCCCTTGAGTTATCTTTACTTTCAGTTTTGTTCTATTCGAGAACTATACTCTGAGACTTGTATATTTTTATTCGAATTCAATATTTAGAGGTTTGTACATGTGACAACCAAATTCTGGGTAGTGTTGAGTCTTAATTAAAGTCTTCCGCTTATTTATTATCTTTTATTCTCGTATTTCTACTTCTCTATCGTCGTGGTTGGGTTAGGCTGACGTGTCCGGTGGGAAATGGACACGTGCCATCACATCCGGATTTGGGGTGTGACAGCCTTGGATATGGAGAAAATCATGTTGAGAGTGTCACCTCTGAATGGACCCTTCAGTACGCAATCCAAATTTAGTTGGAGCTCCAATGTGAGCGCCTAACACCGGATAGAAAACTAAAAAAAATAAAATCGATTGCATAGATACCATTATTACGTAGGAAGTTTACACCTAAAGGAAAATTAGGAAATAATTTGACAAAAAACATGTGAAACTTAAGATATAATTGGATAAGTTGCATATGAGGGTACCTTTACACGTTCTCCTAGGGAAGATAAATGATAACATATGGGAATTTTATACACTATTATCTACTTATATTTTTTAGATTTGTTGAAGTTTTTTTTTTATTGGTGGTAGTAATAAATTCTCTTCCATTTATGTGCAAGCTTTTGTATATATAGTTATTATATTCATTACATTTTAATTGCACATGCCAAATGGACATATTGAACTAGATTTAAATAAGCGCAGATTACAGAAATCACATACTTTTAAGATAAAATTATAATATATCCCTTAAAAGTTTATAATTACATAAATTTCTCAAACGAATACAATAATATAAACACTGATACATTAAAAAAGGGTCGGATACATTAATGGCCAAAAGATCACTGATACATTAAAAAGAGGGTCGGATACATTAATGGCCAAAAAATCACTGATACATTAAAAAGAGGGTCGGATACATTAATGGCCAAAAAATCAAATCCCTTAAATCACACATGTTAATAGATGATACAAAATATAACACCTTGTTAAGTAAGATACATTAATAGATGATACAAAATTTTACACCTTGTTAATCAAGATACATTAATGGCCAACATTTTATACATAATACACTAATTTGATGCGCGATTTTTGACTTAAGAGAAAAATGAGGAATTTTGGAGCTTATAGGGGATAATAATAATAAGTAAACTAAAAGATGGGATTTCTGTAATTAATTCTTTAAATAAATTAAAATAAATTAAGTTAATGGACATGTTATTAGCCCATTCAAGAGTTACTTTGACTGGATTGGTCTGATTAAATAGCAGGTCAATACTTAATTCTTTCAATTGTTATAAGTTTTAATTACTTCATTTGTTCTTTTATAACTTTTTAAGTACCCTATTAAAATTACTTTTTATATCATGATTATATAAGTATCAAATTAAAAAAGTCTTAATTTGGGCTACATATTGACCAATATGTAAATTGATTGAAATGAATAAGGCCAAATATTGGATTGAGAATGACCCACTTAAACGTAAGAAAATTAGGTGAATCATATTTTTATGGAAAAATCACCCCATATACATATTTAAGAGTAAATATTACGGGTTTTAAATTTACTTTTAAAAATTTCTTGCTTATAACAGATTATTTACGGGCTATGACATATTAGTTAAATTTAATTTTATTTTAAAATTAAATTATATTTATTTAATAAATTATTAATCTATTTATAGTTTTTTATTATTAATTAATAATAGATCATTAATTTTATTTTACTTCCTTTTTAAAAAAACTAAAATTTTCAGTTACCCAATTTTAGGGATTTCTTTTCCTTGTTTATCGTTACCATCCCCAATCATTGATCACACCACCATCCCACACGTTTCTTCACTCCCACACGACTCAACCCACAACCCACTATCAAACTTTCTCCATTCTTTCTCATCTAGTCCAACATCAAAATTGATTACCCAGTCTGCTGGGGCAAGTCTAATGTTAAATGACATTATATGTTGGAAGGAATTTCCTTTCAAATTCATAATGGATTTCTTATTTCTCATGTTCTCTTACAGATTAAAGAAGGTATTGAACTAGTATCTCAACAAGCCTATTCTAGCGACAAGGCTCCTTTTTCATCAGATCCTCGGACTACAATAGACTGGGATCCCTTGAGCAATCCTCAGAGGAAGGGAAAAAAACTTGTTGAAACCCCTCCAGAGTCTGATTCCGACTCAGATTCGAATTTTGTTGGTAACAGCATGTCAATAGCATTATGTATTATCTGTGAAAGAAGGCTAATTACTCTTCAAGTCCATTATCATACAACACTGTTGATTGTTGGTTTATGTCGTGGGTCAATAACATTGAGAAACAGTGGAGAGAGTCAAATTGCGGCATGAGATCCATCTCCCCCAACCACAATGTTGGACAGTGCATTAGAGGCTTCAAATTGCTTGCCAACATTCCATGGGACACTGTTGACGATGTAATTATTCCTGTCAATATTAGTGACAAATTTCACTGGTTAAGAATTACATATTATTTTTTTTAACTTTTGGATAAATTTTTTCTGTTTAACTTTTGGATATTTTTTTTTTGTTTAAGTATTTGATAATATATACTACAATATGTTATCAAAATAGTTGATTGCACCTTTTGATTCTCTTTTGAATGTTCTAAAAATTGTAACAATGTGTTGTTAATTGTACACATGGTGACTGACATGCACTAACTTATTATGCTTGGATAATATAAGTTCAGCACAAAAACATTACACAGACTTCATACAGTTCTGATACACTATTTTTTAAAGTAGCACCGTGTTTTTAATTTGTATAACAAATGGATGAAACGTGTATGAAATACATTTTATATGCATATGTCTATGACTTCAATATTAAATGTTGGATATTTGTATTTAGTCATGGTATAATTTTTATAGTTGTATTTTGTCTTATTTTCGTTTGAATTAAATATGATTTAGATATGTTCGACTACAACTTGAATTAGTCATTAATATATACAATATCTTTAATATGGAACAAATTT